AGGACCACCTCAAGTACTGTAACATTCCTTGTGAAATCTTTAAATCCCGTTTACATTGATTTTGTCCTATCGTGTTTCACAATTTTCATTCTTCTGGTAACTTTTTAACTTCTAAGAGTGTTGGAGCATAATAGGCCTTTAACCCAGTAACATTTGATTGTAGCAGATAAAAAAGGAGCAAAAATACAGAAATGTCAAAACTAAAAACAAAAACAAGCCAAATATACATTCTCCAAAACCTCTTTAAGTTCTGTACTGTGTGTAGAAGCGAACGCAGTAATGAAACAAAGGCACAAGGAAATTTCTTCAAAACAAGAATGAACACATCAAAATCAAAAGCAGAATGTACTTTCACACTGACTGAATCAATAAAAACAAAACCCATTTTGCAGAGTGCTGATCTTTACTGTAAATACTGGACCACACTGCTGTAACCAGTGGTCCCAAACATATGTGTAAAACTTTATTTTTTCCTTTAAAGCAAAAGACCTTCCATGTCAGTTCAATATGAAGCCCAAAGAAAAGATAACATTATTAGCGCTTCATTAAAATGAGACAAACTGCTCACTAACCAAACAAAAAAAACAACAACAAAAAAGAACCTGGAACTGCAACTTCTTTACCTCAGTAAGGAGACAGATGGGACATTTTTTCAGAAGAGCAGATGTTAAAACTCATCACTATCCTTTAGATCTGTGGGCAGAAGCTTCAGGCCTTAGAAGAAACTACTTTAGCATGGAAACGTCATAGAAGGCTTCTAAAGATGCAGACAACAAGTGCATGGTGTAGCAATGTACTGTATATATACACATTATGGGAAACACTGTTCCCGATAATAAAAACATCCACCCCTACAGTGAAATATGGAGGGCACTGCCTCCGATACGGACACACACTGGTAGGCAAAAACTACCTTCTTTTTTCACATTATGGAAGACACTGCTCCCGATAATGTTGAGGACGAGAGGTGTGCATGGACCAAGGGACTGGTACTGACAAACAGAGGTGTTCGGTATAGATTTTCCAAGGTGTGATATATGAAATGACCTTGCCTAAAAGACCAATCCAGTGTCAGTTAAAGCAGCTACAAGGAACTTTCATTTAATGTGATTCTGG